TTTCTTGGGTTAGAAAATGATACCTATAAATTAAAAAGTGTAAGAGTGGTGCGGGCATACACAAGCATGTGGGTAGATCTTAACCATTCATGCCATGAATTGCTCTAAACGGGCGTCAAGATTAGTCATGGCTATTAAAGCGAGTAAGTCTTACAATACATCAACAATAATATGTCCACTTCCAAGTGTGTTTGTGTGACGGACTCTCACCATTTACATAAATGTGATGCAAACAGTTATGGTGTTTGGTGTTCTTTTTCTTTGTATATGAATGTTCGTTTGGGGTGAAGTCACTTTACATATCAATTGGGTACATAGAATTTTTTTTTTAGATATCTAGACGAAAATGAAAATAGTTATATTCAATCCTGTTATAAACTTCTTATTTAAGATTAGATTTGATTCTAGTTATTCTTCCATATTAGGACTTGTATTCCTTGGAGGAGAATGATTTCTTCTCTATCTTATTACTATAAATAAAGGCACTGCGTAGGAGGAATAACACATCCCCTACACAGCCCTATAAACACATCTCTCTATATTTTCTCTATGCCGTCAACCCCCTTTCCCTGTCAGTTAAATATAGGCCACAACACGTTATCAACGCGCTCCTACTGTTGCGCTTAGGAATATGATGTGGAAGTTTTCTGCATCAAACCAGTTCACCAATATCATCACACAATCAGGTTATTTCAAAACAACGGTTTTTATCTCGATATTTTTGTAGCCTTGACAGCATGAACATTCACCATAATGTCCATCCTATATATGTTCATTCATTAAATTATTTAATTAAATATGCATTGAATCAATTGAAAAAAAAATCGAATTTTTTTAGGGTTCTTTGAACCCATGAACCGAGCCTACACCGAAGCTAGAAGCTTTACGCATTTGGAACCTAGACCCATGACATCGTTTCGACGTCGTCCACCTGCCAAACTCTGACGCCCTTCAAGGCGTCTCATGCATGGCCTGCAGCCATGCCTTTCCATTCTCGATGACCTGTAGTCGTCGCCGACTTTGAATTTGGCCGAGATTCGTATAAATCTCTATGGATTCAAAAACCCCAAAATCGAATTCGAGGGTTTTGTTGGCTTATGGACGTCAAGATTTCCCTTTTT